GTGGCGGAGAGGTAGAGCGTCCCCACGCTGACCTTCCTCTGGCCCGAGGACCGGTCCAGCAGCCGCACGTTTTCCACCTGAGACCAGAACCAGAACCAGAACCAGAACCAGGAATCAGAACCAGGAATCAGAACCAGAACCAGAACCAGAACCAGAACCAGGAATCAGAACCAGAACCAGAACCAGGAATCAGGCCCTGCCTTCACACTAGAGGCTGACATTTTTTTCCCTGCAGGATGGGAGTCATCTTTGCTATTAATCAGGGGATTTGGACGGTAGGATAAATGGTTAACGGGAGCAGACGGGAATCAACCAATAGCAAAGATGGAAAAAAAAAGTAAATGCACCATTTTGTAGTTTCCTTTTAATATGCCTAAAATGTAACGCAATTAAAAAATAACGACATGACCCAGCCGTCCCAGAAGCCATCAGGGCTTTTTGTCACGGCTTAAAAAGAATTCAAAGAGCAGTGATGGAGGAGCTAAAAAACATGATTTACAGTGCAAAGTCAGAAGTAAAGACATGTCTATTAAGTTCACAGAACTGGTCGGAAAGTCTGAAATATTATATAAGTTTATGAGAGTAGAATGTGACGCTGCTTGTAAGACTAAACACTAATTGAAGAAAAAAAACATATGGGAGCGGTAAAGGAGCGGGAGTCAGTTTAAACAGTTTAAACAGGAGCGGGATGGGATGGGATTATTTTTTAAATTCTGGTCTGGGAGTGGGACAGGACAAGATTTCTTTCTATGTCATCCTCTACTTCACACCTTCCTGGCCTCTAATGGGGAAATGAGGCTGTGGTGCTGTGGTTTGGGGAGGCCGGGTCTCTGAGGGGTTTTAAATGGGGGTAACCACTCAGAAATGTGCCAGATGGGGGCGTCCCAAAGAAAGAAAACAACGGTTTGGGGCTGCCCGCCGCCATTCACCAGCTGCGCCCATTATCGGACACCTCCGGGCCCGGTACCGGTACCGGTCCGGACCGGACCCGGAGCCCGGCAGCCGTTTGGGCTAAAGCCGGGGGTTCGTTGGCGGAACCAATGGAGGTGAAACTGGGAGAAAGAGCTGAGTCACCGGGGCATCTTTACCTTGGGAGTCCGGATGTGCTCCATCACTGCCAATCCAAGATGGAGGAGGCGGGTTTTGTCTTCCAACGGTCAAACTCCCGGACTGGAGCCGCCTA